TTCTAGAGGCTCCCAGACAGGGTGCTGGTGTCAGCACTCCTGCGGTCAGCTGTCTTCTATTGCTCCATCTACATTTGATTGGAGTTTCCTTTTCTGTGTTATCATATTTTCTTCTTTGCTGCACTTCCATCTTTGTTAGCTTGTTCCCTCTTTCAGTTGTGTATTTTTTAAAAAATGTCACATGGATTTCTCCCTGGGAGGCAAGAGATCAACACAACGGTGTGCTTTGTTGTCTGTGTGAGAACAGAATGACACGTGGGCAGTGACCACTGGCCGACTCAAAAAAAGTGACATGATGAGTCACTGATCAATATGTGTGTGTGCTGTTTACTTAGTGATTTACGAACTGAGGAGCTGTCAGTAACATTGTACTTTGTGCAATTACTCAGTTATACCAGTAAAATTTGAACCCTGTTGTTGGGGGAGTGGTGTTATTAAACTAAACCATGTCTCTTAGATAGTTTGAGCTACTCTAACAACATACTGCAGACTGGGTAATAACAAACGTTAACAACGAATATTTATTTCTCACAGGACCAGAGGCTGTGAAGTCCAAGATCAAGGTGCCCGCAGATCTGGTGTCTGACGAGAGCCATCTTCCTGGTTTGCAGACAGCCGTCTTCTATCCTCACCCGGTGGAGAGCAGCGAGCCAGGGAGCGAGCTCTCTCATAAGGGCACCAACAACAAGAGGGCTCCACCGTGTGACCTGATTAGCTCCCAAAGCCCCCATCTCCAAATACCCTCACACGGGGGGTTCAGGCTTTAACATATGAATCTGGGGTGGGGGGCATGAATATTTAGTCCATAGCACCATGGTAATTGGAGTTCTGAAAATCAGAGTTGCACAAAAGGAGCACACACACAACACACACACACATCAATGTACCATAAGCTGGTCTTATATTTCAATTATTCTTTTTCTTTTTTTGGGGGGGGTTATTCTTTTGCTGTGATCTATTTCCTCCTCTTTTTGCACAGATGTTTTTTCTCCTTCTCTCCCCCACCCCTTTTGTGCTTACAGGAGAAGACCTAGAAGGCTTTTTCTGGGAGAACCGAGGAGAGCTTCTGTGAACTCCCCGTTGCTCTCAGTTGAGTACCGCATGTATAGTTCTCAAGCCAGTTTATCTCAAAGGCACTTTGGGGTACAGCTGGAGACTGGGGAGGCTCTTCTGGCTCAGATACAGTGAGCCTGCTGTTTGTTGTCATCTCCTGTTGATAAGCAGGAGAAACCCACACTCAGCACACTGAGGAACTCAGCTCGGTTGGGCACTGCCTGAACATTTTTAAGTTTAGCTGCACGAAGTCTGTGGTCAGGGATGCGTGAGTGAACTCAGCTCAGACTAGACTAATGGTTCGGGTAAATCATAGGTTTGTGAGGAGTAGTGGGTACTTATTATTATAATATTTAGGACTTCTTTTTAAAGCTTAACAATAGTCGAATTATACAATGATGTTTATAGAGAGAGGTTTTTTTTTTTAACTTTAGCTGTTGTAATCAATAAAAATGTCCTTTGCTTAGTCTTGAGAGTCAAACTCCAAGCCAATTCTCCCACCTTAACTTTAAACAGACCTCTTAGAGCACCACCAGTGTCAGGGCTGCTAAAATATCCAATCTGGAGAAGTAGGGACCACGTCTCTCTTTTCTAACCACTGTTCTGTCCGCATGTGGCAAGTTACCTGGTGTCCAGAATCACTCTATAAATATTTGCTGGATGAGTGAAGGCTGAAAGCAAGGCTGAAAGCTCTTGCTTCTTGAGCAAGAGCAATACCTCTAGGGGAATGATTAATGTTCAAAGTATCTCAAAGTTTGGGAAGGTTTTCCTTTTTTTAAATATCAAATTAAAAATGCACTTTCTTCCCTCCTGGGAAGAAAAAAGAATTCCCTTTTTCTACAAGTGATGGTGTTTCAGTGCAAAATGAAAATAGAAATGTATTTATAAAGGCAATAATATGAAGATGAACAGGCCAAAGGATAGTGTTGTAAGAATCACCCTCATTAACACTGGCATCTTTGAGGTGTGAATTTTGAGTTTTTGTCTGAATGTTGGAGGTGGTCGTGTGCCCATCCATCTATATATAAAATATATATATATATATATATATATATATATATATATATTTTTTTTTTTTTTTTTTAATCTGGAGGTCCTTGTAAGTCCCCAGACTTGAACATGGCAGCCTGAGTTTAGAATTTAGAGCCTACATTCCATCCATGGCTTACAACTCTTGGGGCAAGGGGAGCAAACAATTTTTTTTACACCTCGACCATGTACCGAGGCTCTGTCAGCTGGACTCTGAAGTGAAGGGGACAGGAAAGAAGAATTTGAAAACTCTTATATTTTCTTGTTAGAAGAGAATCATTCACCTAAAATAGGGAAGAAATGTCCCTAATTGTTATTTTAAAAGAATCAACACTCACAAAATTCATTAGAAAGACCATGCCTGCCAAATAGGAGGTCAGTGTTTGCAAGGCACAGATAGAACCACTTGGTGTTCGTCCAGGGCACATTTCTAGAGCAGGCAATAAACATTTAATGAGTGGGGCCCTAGAGGCAGGAACAAGGTCATTTGCATCAATTTGTTAGCACCTTGCTCATACATGGAGGCAGACGATGGAACAGACTGGGTACCCGCTCAGTATCCCAGATCGTCTCCAGGGCGGTGTGATTCATCAGTAAGGAGGTTGGTAAGACCCCAGGATGGCCCGTGGGATGCAGAGGGCCACTGAGCTGCCCAAGGAACTGGTCCAGTCTGACCCACTGGGACCCCCTTCTAAACATTCTCCAGTCCCCCTGACAATCTGACTTCCATCACAGTAGGAGACATTCTTTATTCCTCTGACCCGAGAAAGAATTAATACATGGGGGGAAATAATCAAACTTAATTTTTTTAAATTTAGTTTTTAGAATTTTATTTGAAAAATACAATGCACAGCAGAGAATGCTCTCCTCCCCTACTGCTCTTTCACAAAGGAAGCCGTATGGTAAATGTAAGTGAGATATTTGGCTAGGATAGATCCTGAGAAAAGAGAGGCCCAGTTGGAAGTGGAATAGGCAGAGTCTGTCGAAGAAGGTTCACCTCTCTTTTAACATAAAAGAGCCTTTTAAATCATCTTAGGAATCAGATAAAACATGTGCAGAATTTCTGCCATGCAAACAGAGACTACTGAAATTTTCAGACTGACCAATTTATACTGACCTGGGTCCCCAGTAAGGAGAATAAAAAGATGTCTTTATCAGAAAGATACGTGTTTGCCTGCTTTTACTAGACTATATATATACATATTCACAAGTTAACATTTTCTTGGACGCGTTTTTCATTATTCTCAGTAATGGCATTGTGGGTAAGGGCCCTTTGCTGGCTTTTTGCCTTATGCGTGTATATCTTCTTATTCTTCTGAATTTCCTTCATGGCAAGATCATTCATTGCACAATCTTGGGTCCATGACATTTAAATATTGCAGATGACCTTACTCTGATCCTGGTTTAAATCTGGATTTCTGAGGAATTTCTAACTCCTGAATTCAGACCAGGTTTAGCATGGTACAAAGAGACAACATTTGTATGCATGTACAGGTAAGGTTTCCAACAGGAAAACTGTGACTAATTGGTTCCTTGAAAGCTGCGGCCAGACCGAGAGATCTCAGCTAAGTCTTTAAGTCTTACTGGTAATCCTGCCTCCCTTCCACTTTTGTTTCCCGTAAGTGAATGCCCCATCACTGTTATTGCCTACAAAGTCTTTTAGAGGGTCAAGGCATTCTAAGCTTTTTTGTGTTCTAAATTTCCACCAGAATTGAATTTCCTATAGGAGTCTAAAAGGTAGAAATATTAATCTTTTTTTTTTTTTGGCCCTTCTAAAAGCATTTTAACTCCCACAGTGATGAAAAAGAGTGTAAGTGCGTCTATTTTGGGAGTAATGGGCACATCTTTGGTTATGTTTATTTTCTGATTTCTGTCGGAATTACAGAGAAAATTAAAAGTTTATTTCCTTTAGTTCTGTCAAGGTTAGGAAGAATATTTTCAGCAACTAACAACTTCTCATATAAGACAAAGCTACTCCATGTAGCTTTAAAAATCATGACGTTATTGTGGAAGAGTACATTGAGTGGTTTTCTCATACGCCAGTTCATCTTCATTATAGTGTCATGATTTTTGTCCTTAATTCTACATGCTGAATGTAACCCTCGGGGCCTCTCCTGACGGGTGGGGACCAGGGCATGGGGGTGAGGGCTGCAGGAGAGACATGAGATTTAGGTTTTGACTTTACAAAAGACCTCACACCTATACTCTTGACATTCTTTTAAAATAGGATTATAACCTGGTTAGCATGTTGTTGTGTTTTGAAAAGTGTTCATTCTTAAAACACAAATGTTCAAAGTACAGCAGAACTTCTGTAACTCTATTTTGGCATTTCTTGATTTTTCAAAAACATGGGTAGTTGCCCAAGACTCCACTGACCTCTGAAAGGCCTCGACGTGTCCAGAATGATATGTCAGCTGTGGTGTATTTAAAAAGAATACTGGTTCAGGGTCAGAACATCGGAATTTAAATTTTAACCGCCTCTTACCAGGTGTGTGGAACTGGGCACATAATTTACCCCGCCTTGTCTTCATTTTTCTCACCTGTAAAACTAAAGCCATCCTTTTAATGTTCACCCAGGGTTATTGTGAGGATTAAATGAAATAAAAAATGATAATGTATTTTGTAACTATAAAGTAGCACACATATGCAAAGTAAAATTCGTTAGGTACATTTCTTACATTTATATAATTTAAATTACGTTGTCAGGGTGTGATTCTCTCCTATTTAAATTATGTGGAAACTTGACTAGTAAACAGCCTAAGAATGGAGACTTTGACCTCTTTAGACACTGTTATCAGTGGAAAATTGCTCAATAAATAGGTACCTTTGCTGGATTTACTCACTCAGACTATTCTACACACTCCCCACGTTCAAAAACTACAAGTTAACAATTAAGCCACAATTGTCAGGAACAAAAATCCAAATAAATAATTTTTAATTATGATACATTACTTATTACAGTAAAAATTGGCATTTTCCCCTTCAAAAGCAGAAGCACCAGTCTTAGAATTTATAGTATGAATGGTATTTTAAGTGAAATAGAGCATAATATAATGTGCAAACATTATTTTAGTACAGAACATACTTTCTAAAAGTAATTTCACACACTGAAATCTGTTAGAACGGAAACAAGGTCATGCTAAATCATAAGATAAAAACCCCCATGACGTTCAAAGTCCACTTCAAATGAAACATGGTCTACTGCCGAATAAGAAGAGATATGAAAAATTAAAAAGCTAACTAGCCCCCAGTGGAGGGATTTCTTACACAAAGATGACTCGTGTAGAGGTTTCTTTTCACAGAGCCCAGGGATTCTGTGAGAAACTAAAGTGAACGTTTTATTTCAGAATGAATTTGTTCATCGGTCATCACGTTTTGCTGAACACCTACTTTATGTGAGGTGTTGCTCTAAGTGCTGGGGACACAGAGAAGAGAAAAGACACGGTCCTGCCCTTGAGGAGCTCACAGTCTAGTGGGGGAAACAGAGAAGTTGACAACTGATTTTTAAATTATAAAAACGATCGGACAACTTTAGAAACGGCTTCTGTAATCAAACACACTTCGGGTGTTATGAATGGACGGTGAAGAGGGATGACGTCCAGTGCAGTGAAGGACCATCTCCTTCAATATCATGTGACTTCTGCAAAGGCGGTGATGTGGTTCTGCACAGAGAGAAAGGAATTGAAGAGTCAGAGCCCTGGGAAAACTGGCCTCGTCAAAGTTTTAGTGCTTTTACAAATAATCATTAGCCGGAGATAAAACTGTAGCTCATAGAGGTTTAAATTGCAAAAAAAAATACAGCTTTAGTAGAATGAGTTGCATATATGGGTCAATAAATTAAGCTGCTCATTATATATTTTATTCAAGGTTCTTAATTAACCAAATAGATTATAATGTTACATTTGCCTTAGTCAGAATTAACACTGAAATGTGGAGAGATGACAGCGGCAAAGCTGGGCACGTTAATATTCTGTTCAGTGTTCATGGAATTTGATTGCTGCACGTTGGAGTTTCAGATTAATTACTCCCTGAGAGACAGATGGCAGAGAATGAGTGGTGAAATGTTCAGACTGAAATGGCATTTGCTGGTTGACAAAGATCTACTCAAACACTTCATTTCTGATGCATGATGCCAGACTGCAGACCGCAGTCTCTGTGTTTACCTCAACCAGAGAATTCTTCTCAGAGACTTTTGACTTTTTTTTTTTAAGCAACAGAATTGTGTACAAAGAAACCATGTGGGACGACTAATATTTAAATGCTTTCATACACACAATCGGCCATACCACGGCTGCTGAAATACTGCAGCAGAAAATCAATGACATAATTAATCATGTCACATGTAGGTCATGTCAAGAGCTAGCGTAAGTGTCAGCCCCAACCAGTAACAGCAGCATTACAAAGGGTTTTTTTTAAATATCATATTTTCTGTTTTGAACATTTTTCATAGTAGTTTTGACTCTCTAAAGACGTCATAAATAAAATTTCATGGAATGAATGCAGGCCATGAGATTTCTTCCAAGTATATGAAGCTCTTTTCAAGTTAAAGTGTCTTAAATAGCTAAAACATTTTTAAAATGTGTGTGAATAAACTAAAATTCATTTTCACTGAATTGAGGCATATTAACCACAACTAGAAGGCTATCACTGATGACTGCTTATGGCATTATTTTCTAGGCTGGGTCCACTTAAACCCAGAGAAAAACAATATCGGTAAGAACTAGTAGGGAGCAGAGCACGCTGACTTCTTCATTAACTCCTGATCCGACCTTAGAAACTTTAAGTTCCCATTTAAAAACTGCATGATGAAAATGTTGGTGAATTCAGCAGCCCATCTCCAAGTTTTCTTGAGTTTTCCTTACAAAAGCACAAGTATGACTTTAGGACAAAAAAAGATTTGTCAGAGTCATGTGACCTGCTAAGACTGAATGAAGGGCCTAAGAACTGTGGAGACAGAACATCATAGTTTTATTTCCAGTGGCCCCATGGGGACTTGAAATCTGGGAACCGAGAAAAGACAACGTGATATACAGTGTTTCAGTGTAAAACTGACAAAGTTGTCACTCCTCTGGACAGGATCGAGCACCTAGGAATTGCTGGGAAGATGTTAAGATATAAATTGAAGATTAATCAGTCAGTGGTGACCGGTGGGTAGAAAAAGGGTGAAGAAGTGACAGTAGAAAGAAAGGAAGGGAGATTTTAAAAAAGAGAGAAAATGAATGGTGCTCCAAAGGCCACTGGCCTAAGTATGACTGTTCCCTTAACCTAAATAATGTGTCCACAAGGCTCATTACATTTGCTAAGATGATCCTGAGTGAAGGGGACAGCCATCACCTTGGCAGGAAAATTGAAATATTAAAAGACCTTAATAAAGCAAAGAAACAAAGGAACAAATCACCAATAATCAAAGCAAGGGAGAACAGACGCAGATGGAAAACTAAGTGACACGCACAAGCTGGACAGAGTGACAAAGAAACGTGCAGTGACTGTAGGGAGAATTACCGCCTAAGCCTGGGCATGATGAGGGCAGTGGGATGCTCGTCATCTACAAGGACAGCAGGCTTAAACCGGGGCTTCCCACACAGCGAGACAAGGGCCCCTTAGACAGAAGGCATTGGACAGATGACTCTGTGTGCTGTTGAGATCCAGGAAGCTCTGGGTTCAGTCTTGGCATTTAAAAGCGCGTTTCAGTGGCCTGGATCTTCCCTTCACTGTCCGTAAATTCCAAACAGTATTGCCCTTTTCTTTATGCGAAGTCATTACCAGGTTAAATTCCGAGGTAACAATTTGTTTCCAGGCTGACTTCACTTTTAGATCCCAGGGCTCTGGGGAACTTCCTGCTTTTTCCCAATAAGCACCCTTTTGTTTTCACATCACACTGAAGTTCTAAGATGATTTTTCCTATCTGACTGGAACTAGAAGCGTTCTGCTCAGGGCTTATCATTTAAAAGTGGGCGTTGAGAGAGAAACATGAAATAAAACACTGAAGTGACTGTGCATAGGGAAGAGAAAATTAAAGGGAGATTTAATAATAGTTTCTAAGCACATGAAAGAAGTACACAGAGAGCACAGGGGCCATCTGCTCTTTAATGTCACTGAGAGCAAATGAACCCACACTACAGAGGGAACGAGATGGATTATTAATCTCAGCAGGCTTTAAGAAGTAAGTTGAATTCTCGTCTAGTACAGGGGTGTTTTCCCCTGAAAGAATCTAGAGAAAGGATAAGAACGTCCTTACCATCTATAAGACTCTGTGATTCTATATTATAACAATTAACCTGTATGTAAATGCAATGATTTGAAATATTCAAATCCCAGTGCAGGAAGTTATGATGTTGCTCACGTCCCCATTGGCATTTTTCTCAGTAATATAAAAAAAAAACAAACAAACTAGAATTGCACTTAATATTTTTCAGATCACCTGTCTTGAGAAATGGACTCCCTATGAAGCAAATTCGGTGACAAAGGTTTTTTTTGAATCTGGCTGATTTCCTAATATGCAACACCAAATAAATCTTATTAGTAGACGATAGTGCAAACACTCAGTAAGCAAACCCAAAACTCATGCATAAAAGCTTAATTTCGAGTCACAAGAAAAAAGCGGTCATGTAATTTATCAATGCAATTGCATATACAGAGGCTCATAGTGGAGATAACAGAGCTTGAGTCCAGAGAGTTGAAGATCAGACTATGCTACATCCATTAGAAAGTGTTCATTCAAGTCCACAGCAAACCAGTGAGCAAAATACTGAATCTAGTCCTTGAGTGCAGAGGTCCCATGGAACAGTAAGCACGTGTTTCTGAAAAGCAGTTTCGGCCAACACTAAGCCTCTACGCCAGTTTTTGAAGCTTTAAGTTCTATGTGAAAATCTCCATTTTACTATTTATTCTAAGCCTCCATTTGTATAAATTACACTTTGTAATTTTAAAAAGTTACTTAAAAACTGTCATTTATTTATGACATGACAATTTGGTGACAACTTGCCACCTAACAAGATCTGCTACTTCTCTGAAAAAAGAGAGAGAAATGCAAAAAGAGCACTTTAGGGAAGAAAACAAAAAAGTCACTACAATGAAGGGCTATTTGGTTGAGGAATGCTAAATTCCCATTAATGGGTAAAAAAAATCAGTGAAAAAGCAATATATATTTGAATGCTAAATAATAAAAATAACAATGACAACCAAAACCACCAAGTGTCTGGATCCCATTTTGGTTGTAATGGAAACCTGCAGAGAAGGACGCATTTTTTTTTTTTTTTGTATTTGCCTTAGATTTGCAACCCAACTCCAAGCCCAGTGCGCTCGAGCGCACATACGTTTATTGCCTTAATTGAAGGTGTTCACAGTGGCTGAGTCCCATTATCCAGCTGAAGAGCCTTGCAAGACAGTCTTTAAAGGACGTTCCCTGTGCGTTTTCTTCTTGACCATTCTCAATGGGTTGGATTCGGGACACCTACAAAATGTATTTTACACATTATTTCAGTGTTTATTTAAATAGTGACTGACTTACTTGGATAAAGTACTAGGCTATTTAAAGCTCTATGCTGTTACATTGTTAGACGGACCCAGTACCAAGGTTGAATAGTGTTCTAGTTTCTTTCTTTCAGGATGGTTATAGACAGCTTTTGTTTTTTTCATAGGAGGTTATCAGCAATCAGTTTTTATGTTCAGGTGGGATCTGTGCATGTCATGAATTCAATGATACATGTCTTCAGCTCTGTTGGGCAGGAAGCTGTGTGGCAGCGTGGACTTCACAGTAGGGTAGTGTGAATGTCAAATGTTTGAAGGTGAGCACTGACCAACTGAAATTTTCACATACAATTTAACCTTTCAGAGACTTAGCTTTCCCATCTGTGAAATGGAAATAATAATACCTATTGGAACGGATTTTTATTAAACTTAAATGAGATGATATGCAGAGATCCTTTACTCAAACACACCATTACAGTTGTCTATAAAAGCCAGAGAAACAAGATAAAAAGTGAAAGAAAAGAGAGAAAGAAAAAATAAAAAAGAAATCTAGAAGTTTTAAAACTAATTGGTTGGGATTTTATAATGCTGTAGTCTACAATCTTAATATCCAAACAAACTTTAAAACCCAAGTATTTCCCGAAAGATTGGTGCAAACTCATTTGGTGGCAAAACAACAAACCTGAATTGCTGTGAGGCCATTGGTATTCTGGTTTGTGCTGCAGAAATATCCATCTTTGATTATAAAGCGCTGTCCAAGATCCTGCTTATGGAACAGAATATACAGGATCTTTCCGTAAAACATAAAATACCTCAATCCTGAAAAACACCTAGCACTGATGATTGAGGGTAAGGAATTGCGGTCCTTAATAATCAACAACTCGGATGCAACATGGATGCAGCCTACATTTTATCAGGGGGCGGCAGGTAGATGGATGTCCTACTCCCAAACACTGGCCGTCTTTATTTTGCTATCTGCTTCCTTCCTGCCTCCACTATGTCTTTTAATGAGGGCAAAGTGGGCAGGAGAAGAAAGAAGAAAGAAAAGCTGTAGCGTATGAAGTGTGCGCTCCAAGACTACTTCGTCACATGAAGTTTTCCTCCTGGTACGTTGTGAGGTTGGTGAGCACTTTAGGAAAAAAGAAATGATGTTAGGTCCATCTAAGAAGAAATTATTAGAACACCTCTAACTTGAGACTGTGAAACACTGCAGACCTCATGCTAGGCCACTTCTTGTTTAAAACAGTTGGGGATGTGAAGACATAAAAGCTAAATATGATAGAACCAGAGCTGCCTCAGGAGAGATGACATTTTTGGAACCAGTTTCCAGTGGTTCTGTTTCAATTGAGAGTTTTATATTAGCTCAGAACTTTGTTTCTTCTCAGGAATTCCCTTTCTGCTGTTTGGAGAAAGGCTGAAAGCTACTTTCGGAGAGAATCGTTTCTCCCTGGAGAAAGGAGGAATCTCTGGGTGGCCTTCTCTGATAAGCTAATTAAACCGGAGGCAGGAGAGCCTTCACCGGAGTGCGAACTCTAGAGCTTAGGAAGTATTTCCAAGTCCCGAGGAGCCGGAGAAGCCTACGGCTTTCCACGCTGGCCCTTCAGGGGCGCAGCTTCTCAGCTTGGCTGCAGGTTGGAAAGATTACTGCCGCAGCCCTAGAGGTTGGAATTTAATTGCTCCGAGGTGCGGCCTGATCAGTGGGCATTTTAAAGGCTCTCCAGATTATTTCTACTGTGTAGCCAATATTAAAAATCACTGTTTCAGAAGCTCTGCAGGCCCAGCTGGATCCAGGCCAACTGCCAGTGCCACATCCCAGTCACCTAGGTGCCTGACACACTGCAGAGCCCGGCTCAAGCCCAGGCCTACTGAATCAGGTTCTTGAGCACGCATTCCAGAAGTTTGCCTTTTTTGCAAGTCCTGCAAGTGATGGATTCCATTTTACACCAGTCTGAGAACCACTGTCAGGAAGGTAGAAAGTGATTAGTTAGCAATGTGAGCAATGTCGGGTACACACAAACAATTCTTTCCTTAAAACTATCATTTTGAGGGGGATGGCATATAACTAGTGGTAGAGCGCATGCTTAGCATGCACGAGGTCCTGGGTTCGATCCCCAGTACCTCCAATAAAAATAATAAAATTAAAAAAAAAATAAACCTAATTACCTCCCCCCAAAATAATTAAATTAAAAATTTAAAAAACTCTCATTTCTCTGGTAAATAGAGCTTTGCTTAAAAAAGCAGTAATCCTGAATGATTCTCAAAAAAAAAAATCTCTGTGTTCAAATGCTGTTGGGAAGAGCCGCACATTATATTCCTTGCTTAGAGTTTCATGGTGCATGAGGTGTTGAGAAGACCTACAACAAACAGCCATGTTTCACTTTAACTCAGTGTTTCCCAACACACTGACGTGAAACTCCAGTCAAGTCTGTTAATACCCCTGTGGTTATGATACTTGGCGAATGCAGGTGTCCCTTACTCTATCCGAGTTTCTTAACTTCCCTAACTCTAATGACTTGTCCAACATGCTTTTAGCCCATATTCCCAAGTATATTCTCAACCACCAACCCAACTTACCAATTTACCTCCTGTTCTACCTTCCTCATGCTAGAGTTTCCTTGGCCACTGTGGAAATTTCCCAACCAATGTCTGTTCATCTGCCCCAGTCCGTCTTGTTTCTTCCCTACTCTATTTCTAACTGATTCTGGACCCCACCCGAATACTCTTTAATGGCAGTGTCAGGTCTTTTGCCTCTGGGCTCCTATCTCACCTGTCAAACAAAATGGTGGTGCAAGCTGGTTCCTCTACCTGAGCATTCTTCTCTCTCCTCCTCCCTTGGCTAACAGTCTTTCAGGTCTCTACTCAGAGGATGTTGCAAGCATTTCTGAGTTTGGGAAGGTCCTCCTTTATGTACTCTTCTAGCATAACTATCATCACCCTGTTCTGAACTTGCTTATAAAATTGTCTATTTATAAAATCTATAAAAGTACAGACTCCTGAAACTGTAAACAAGATCTTGAGCCCTGGGGAATGTACCACAGTGCTTCTTATTTGATATTTGTTACATCTTCCATGTATTCCATAAATCTAATAACAAAGAAAATTTTACTGTACATAGCAAGTGATGACAAGAAAGGTAACTCATCCATAACTTGTACTTATGCCTTGTTTGATACTAACATTTTCATCTATCTAATTGGCTTCTTATTTATTTCTCTTTAACTTTTTAAAATGCATTAGATTTTCTAAGCAGCCCAATGCTTGACAGAGAAGAATCAGAGGATATAGGTAATATACCAAGTGCATGGTAAGTTCTTGTATAACTGGGAACTGATTAAAACTCCTTATTTAGAAACTGGCCTATTTTAAGAAAGAAGAACCAATCAACAAAAATCTGGATGAGCCACATCAAGATTCATTTCACAACCACTCAAAACCATAAGGGCCATTAGGCATGACACAGGTATTTCAGAAAAAATTGTAAAGGTAAACATACATTTACCACACAACCCAGCAATCCCATTCCTAGGTATTTATCCAAGAGATAGAAAAATATATATTCACACAAAAACCTGTGCATAAAATTTTACATCAGCTTTATTCATAATTAGGAAAAACTGGAAGCAACCCAAATGTCCTTCAGTTGGTAAATGGATTTAAAAAAAGTAGTATATCCATACAATGGAATACTACCTAGCAATAAAAAGGGAAAAAGAAAACTATAATGCAGGTGATAACATGAATGAATCTCAAATGCATTATGCAAAGAAACAAGTCTGAAAGAAGTCCGACTCAAAAGGCTACATACTGTATGAGTCCATTTATATGACATCTTAGGAAAGACAAAACTATACAAACAGAAAATAGACTAGTGGTTGCCAGGGGTTGGGGACAAAAGGAGGGGTTGACTACAAAGGGGAAAGATGGAAACTTTCAGGGTCATAGGAATGTTCTATAACTTGATTACGGTGATGATTACATGATGGTAGGTATTTGTCAAAACTCATAAAACTATATGCTAAAAGGGGAATTTTATACAATGGAAATTATGCCTTTAATAAGCCCTAATTAAAAAAAAAGGACCATGCATCTCCATGAATCAAGTCTAAACATCAAGTGGTGCCTAGAATTTGATTTGTCTTTTATTGAATTATTGTTTCAATATCTGATTGTCTCAGTTACAGAAAGAAAAATATAAAATAAATGTATGGGAAAGTATTCAAAAATACAAATTAAAATAAGGTACTTCATTTAGTTTTGACCTATGAAATTGGTGCAGATTATTAAGAACAATATTCTCCACTGCTGGAAATAATTCAGAATATGAATCAAACCAAAAACCTTAAGAGTACTTGTCCTCTCTTTTTTTCCCCAGCATTTCCACTTCTTTGAATATAGCTTAAATACATTATTGACTGAACTTACAAATCTATTTTAGAGATGTTGACCCTACTATTGTTTATAAGTACGGGAAACTGGAAGTGGAAGCAGTCCTCTAGGAGTAGCTCAGGTAATGGTTAATTTACAGGGATTAAAATGTTTTCAACGTAATTCTCTAATATATATAGCAATTAAGATTTTGAGCTCTGAAGTGATAAACATGAAATACAAATAAAAACTGGAAAATACAGTTTTGTATTCCAATTTCAGAACACAGACAGGTTGTGTGCCTTTGGACGAATTACTTAACCTTTTTATGTCTCTTTCTCTGTAAAATAGGAATGATAAGATACATTCGAGTGATTTCTGCAAAAACTAAAGTGGTGTCTTATGTGTGACGTTCTTTGCATAATTCCAGATGCATAAGAAGCTCTCACTGAAGGTTAGCTTTTACAGTCATGGTTGAGATGATTACGGATTCACTGATCTGTGACCGTGTCCATGATATACTGTGAAGTGAGCAAACGCAGGCTATAGGAAGGAACGTCCAGGGGACCCTGTACCTCACACAATCCCCCCTACACACACCCATGGGGCCTCAGAGGC